ATTCTTTTATTACACATCGTTTCCCACTGATTTAAACGTTCAATCTGATCTAGTGAAAAAAATGTGTTGGTAGGTAATGCAAAACGAAAAATCAACTTTGTGTGGCCTTAAAGTAAAGGTCAAATAAATGTTTAGATAATCGGAATCTAAGGCAGATAGTTCGAATATGCCAAGTAATGATAAGAGATTAACATGGTGTTACTATCATAAGATTATTAAAAATTAATTGCAGTAGCGCCAACAGAAACTCCATTTGAAAGAATAATCATTTTTTTTAGTATCCCAAGGTAATTTAATTAGGTCAGTAAAATTGTTAGCAAGAATAAATTTTGTATAATATCTAGATAGGTTGCAGCCTATGAATTCAGCATCAGTATGACCAAAAGTTTGAAAGTTTCAAAATTAACAAATCTAGAGAAAGGATCTGAATGTATATTGAAAGATGAATTAATGATTTTTTTCACTAGATCAGATTGAACGTTTAAATCAGTGGGAAACGATGTGTAATAAAAGAATTAGAAGGCAATAAGAGTGTATTAATAAATTGAGCATAGATATCGAATCTATCAGGATATCGAATCTACCAGGATTATTTGATAAATCAATAACAAGCTATTAAAAAAGATAAACATGTTATCAATAAAATTCACAGAAACATAAAATATTATAAAGGAATCATTAGCCAATACTTTAAATCCAACTACCGTTTATTCATATCTCCTTGCACGTCAATCAAGATTACAATGCCATAACGGACTAAGTCCTCGTAACATTTTTAGGCGCCGTATTGGGCAATTTAGAGTGTATGTGATACTATCAAATCTACTCGTGACAGTAAATTCACTTCCAAATGACCATGGACCACCAGTCTCTAGAGATATAGATGTTGATACATTATTAAAACAAACCCGAGATCACGTGAGATACAACTCTGATCATTGGCAAAGTTTTTGATTGCATCAAAAGCGGGTGCAGAATCGATAAAAGTCACTTCACAATCAAGGTTCGTAGGATTGACTAAGGGTGTTCTCAAGCACCTTACTCAATGAATCGGAGGCAATATTTTCAATAGTTCCATACTATTTAGGAAGTACAGACGTAAGGGAAGGTACAAGTATGATGTTAAGACCTGGGGATATGCAAGAAGCAGCGGCTTCAAAGGCTGGCTTGAGATATAGATTAGTAAAGTCCTGGGCGGTAAAGTGGGAGTGGTTACCAACAATAAAATACCAAATCTGTCATGTGGGAACCTAATTAGGCAGCAGTCTCTGGCTTGAGATACGTGCTACTTAAAAAAGATCTTAAGCTTTAGTAAAAACTCTATAAAGAAAAGAGAATAACAGGCACACCAAATATAAAAACTCAAAAGAATAAAAACCCAAACAGAACCAATTTGGAAGTTGTATAAGTACAAAAAAGTAAGAAAAGTGGAGAATATAGATTAGCTAAATATAGATGTTAGTGAAACTAAAATCCAGATAGTATATAAATAGTATATAGATGATCTGATAATATAAAATAAATGCACGCTTAGTTTCTGGTCCAAATATATTCTTGACCTCTATAAATGCACTTCTTCTTATTATTCTCTAAATGCACGTTGCTAAAGTATGGTCCCAAAGGCGTGCACTTAGAGAGGTCTGACTGTACTAGCTTTCTATAGATAATTTATTTTACTATTACTAAAGGTATTTCAAGTTTAATAAGACTAATTCTTTTTTACAAATTATCTTCTTATTTAGTAATTACTTACTACTTCAGTTTTGGTTACAATATTATTCTTTCAAGTAAATATTTTACAAGTTAGTCACAAAGAGATTGATTATATAACTAAACCTAGAAATATAAATTGTTTTATAGCACTTAATTAATGATCCACGAATAAACGAGAACTTAACACTGGGGGAATTTTTATAGTAAAACATAGTAAAAAAATGTTAAGTCGGAATCATAATTTCTATAGTATTATAAAATTTTTTAACCTTAAATTGCTCATAACTTTTTATCTATTTAACTAATTTTACCGATCTTACTATCATTAGAATCACAAAAACTAGTTCTACAACTTTCATTAGAAACTTACAAAACATTAACTTAATAAAAATTTAACTTTACTTAGTCAGGAATGCTGATTTTGATATTTTATATGTGTCGCTATAGATTTTATTAACACAAATTCTCGTTTATTCGTGGATCATCAATTAAGTTAAAATTTATAATTTAAATAATAAAAAAAGGGAATTGCTATTTCCACCCCATTTTTGCTAATGCCACCTCCCAAAATTTAAAAAAGTGCACCAGAATAGGTGTTGTTATTAAGAAAACCTCTTTTTTGTCTTAATGATAGCTTTTATTTAAAAGTAAATAAAAGTTGCTAACTTTGAATATAAATATCTTAGGAACTACTGGCACAAGTATGATTTTACTACCATTAGAACTGGAAAGGCCTGATAAACTTTTATTACGATCACAAGAAAGGTTTACTTAATAAGAATATCTATTTCGGAGTAATTGGTAATATCTGGTTGTAGCATTAGCAAAAATGGAGGTAGAAATAGTAATTCCCTAAAAAAAAAAGATCAAAAAATAAAATAAAATATACCGAATTAGTGATGTGATTAAAAAAATTTTTTTTTAAAAATGTCAAAAGCTTATTGTATTGTATAAATATTGAAATATATTGAATTAGTGATGCGATTAAAAAAAATGTTTAAAAAGTGTCAAAAGCTTATTGTATTGTATAAATATTGTAAAGTTATGAAAATTGGTTTATTTTCAAAAAAGAGAGCTCAATATTAACAAAAAATTATATACAACTAACATTTTCATAGTGTTCTAAAAGAAATAAAAGAAATTATAAATAGTTGCTATTTTTATTAAGATCAATGGTACTAAGCTATTATAAAATTTCAAGACTTGAGTTCATTATATTCAGAGTTAATTGTATATATAATATATATGTTATTTATTGTTTTTAATTATTGAAATCTTTGCGATGCTTCATTTTCTGAGTGATTATCTATGTGATTATCCAAACCCAACCTGGTACACACTTTCTGGGTAATTGTAGTCAGGAAGTTCAATAGATTCAATAGTTCTACTTACTAAACACAAAATTTTAAAATTAAATTAAGTAAAAAACATATTTTAAATAGATACCTTTAATTGCATTCGATATTTTTTGTGTATTAACCATTTTACTGGTGTACGTAAGATCAGAATGTTTTGGTAGATTAATTGGTAATTTCTTAGCTATTTCATCAGCATCTAAGAATTGCTTTTTAATTTCATTATTAACTGAATATTCCATGCTTTCAGTCCATCCTCGAAGTTTATCACGGACTTGCCAAGCATATGGCCGTTTTTGTGGATCAGAATCCATGCATTGCTTAGCTAATTCAATATAACAATTTGGGGTTCCAGGTGCAAATTCAGGTCTCAATCCAATGCAAATTTTTACTGCAAGCTCTTCATTAAATTGATAACCATCAAA